CCCCTCCCTGGGCAATCTGTCTTTTAGGCTTAGCTGGTGTGGGGCCCTACTCCCAGTTCCAATTTGCTTTATGGGTACCCGAGTAGACCTTACCAGCTAAAACTCTGAAGATTTTCCAGCTGGAGTCCTTTGGATTTTTTCCACAAATGCTGTGGATCTGTTTCTTTAACCCCAACAAGGGCTGTGCTGTATTTCTTAGTAAAGCTGTGAAAATTGTCTTCCCCAGCCAAGCTTGTAAGAAACGAAGCTTTTCTACAGGAGGGAAAAACTCATACGTCCTGTAGTTGGGCTTCAAACTGTAAGATTGAACAAACTGTCCCCTTTTCCCTCCTGAACCTGGAGAAAAGGGGGGTTCCAAAAGTCCCAATGATGATAGGCAGGTTGCTAGCCTATGACTGCAGCCCGGGGGAAGCTGCTTAACTGCAAAATGCCTGGCTAACAGAAATACGTGCAAACTAACCATGTATAGAAAAAGAAAATTTACCTTCTGGTACAGCTGTGCCAGCACAATTAATATTGGGGGTCACCATGACTGGAATGATGATGATGATAGACAACTCATTATTGAAGTAAATAATAATAATAGGCTTCCCTATTAATAATAACAATAATAAGTATTGGGATCGCCATGAGTTGACCATGACTTGAAGACACAGAGACACACAAAATGTAAATTTTTAGTCCTTTTAATATTAGAAATGCAACTTGAATCTATTAAAGATGGCAAAAGCATGATAGTTTTTGTTGTTGTTGTTATTATTATTATTATTATTATTATTATTATTATTATTATTTCTTACCTGCCTCTCCTTGTGACTCGAGGCAGGTTACAACACAGCTAAAACACACACAATCATAAACATTATGTAAAGCACACATAATTAATGTGCATTTCATGTAATATGTATGATGCAATGGGCAATTGGGTTTACAAAAGATCTGCTTTGTTCCTAATGATATTAGGATTTTTGCTCTGGTTTTTCCTTGGCAGAACCCTCTCCTTGGAGCAATAACTCTGCAAAAGTCCTTTGTGAGAGATGAGGTAGAATAATAATAATAATAATAATAATAATAATAATAATAGCATTTCACCGCTTCTTTGGAAAAAGATTAATATGGAAAAATTGGAGTAGATCTTGATTTTTTAAAAACCCAGAAAGAGAATGCCAAGCAGCCAAAGACAGTGCCAGCAAAAGCAATTGCCAGAGAGGTGCTTCCATGAGTTACTATAGAAACAACCGCAGAATGATCAAATGGAATTATCCATTTGTTTTGAGGTGGGCTGGGATGTGCAAAGCTCATTCGTTGGTGGGATATTCTGAGATAGAACATTCGGTGTTTGTTTTATGCCATTGCCGACATCAAACTGGAGACTCTCTGAGAGTGCTGGACATCCACATCATTGCCAAAGACGCTAAAAGATTGACGTTGGAAGTTCATTGAAATAAATATTTCCAAGGCAGTGTTTGGGGGACAGTGATTCCCATTGTCCCCAGAATCCCACAGTCCAACTCCCTGCTCAGTTTAAGGGTCTCTTCAGCTGGATTTATGCTGTCATATGATGCAGTTTGAATTGCATCATCTACACTACTATGCATTGCAGTCGGAAACTGCATTATATGGTCAGTGAAGACTCAGATAATGCAATTGAACTGGCAGCATAGATGGGATCTATATGGTCAGTGTAGACACCTATAGTGACATTTAAGCTACATTATAAGAATCTGCACTGACCATATAAGGTAATTTCAAACTGCATTATATAGCATTGTAGATGCAGTTTGGAATGCATTGAACTGCATTACACTGGTCTCCACTGCAGTTTGGGCTGCATTGAGCTGCACCATAGGAGTCTACACTGACCATATAATGTAATTTCAAACTGCGTAATACAGCATTATAGATGCAGTTTGGAATGCATTGAATTGCATTACACTGGTATCCACTGCAGTTTGGGCTGCACTGAACTGCATTGAACTGCACCATAGGAGTCTACACTGACCATATAATGCGACTTCAAACTGCATTATATGACAGCATAAATGCAGAAATTGAAAACATGCGGAGGGTAAAGACGAACTCCAGCCATCAGGCAGCTTTATGCATCCAACATATAATTGCGTGACATTTTAAAAGCAATTCTAATTACATTTCTCTCTTAGTGTGATGATTCATGCTGTTTTCTCCCAGAAAGATAAATTTTTTTGGATTGCTATCTTATCTATCAAGTGTCAACACAAACGAACAGCTCCCCTGCAATTGCTCAGCATTAAAATATAGAATCAACAGCCAAACATTTCATCAACACTTTAATCCCCTGCAGGTTGATTGACAATTAAACCGGAAAATGGCCTCCAATGGAATTTCGGGATCTGATTCACATAATTGCCTTTGGGTCCCATTTGAGATGTGACTGCCCTTGAGCAATGTAGGCTCATATTATGTCGTTCGACTGCATTATACGAATCTACGAGTTTCAAACTGCATTATCTGGCAGGGGAGGTGGGGCCAAGATCTATTACATACATGCCTCTTTGCACCTCTTTTGATGTCTGTGCTGGCAGCCACTTATTCCACTTAATATGGATTTGTTTACAAATGTTTGACCAATTCTACCATTTACCAATCTGCCATGTTTTTTTTCAAGGAGGATTTGGGATATTTAATCAAGGAGCAATTTGTACCCGAGGAAAGAACTAGCCAAACCCTATTGAATCCATAAACTTATAGCAATTTGGAGGGACACAGATCCAAACAGGACTCTATCTTTGGTCCCTTTCCTCTCCAAATACTGCAGAAAAGGGAAAGTTTTGGGTCTCTTTTTTGGAAAGGTAAAGTGAGATAGAAAGAAGAAGAAGAAGAAGAAGAAGAAGAAGAAGAAGAAGAAGAAGAAGAAGAAGAAGAAGAAGAAGAAGAAGAAGAAGAGGAAGAAGAAGAAGTTGTTGTTGTGTTATTGGTATTATTATTATTAAATCTATCCCACTTTACCTTTCTAAAAAGAGACCCAAAATTTATTTTCAGTATTTCTATACCGCTTTTCTCACCCCTAGGGGAACTCAAAGCGGTTCACACATAACTGACAAAACTTCAGTGCCATACATTGGACACTGGCGCGATGCCAAACCATAACAACCACAATAATAAAACCACAATTAAATATAAATCATTAGACAGTACATAAGCAATCATTAAAACAATAAATAATTAAAAAAAACAGTCTCGCCAGTCGTATTGTCATTCTAGTCCATGTCCTTTAAACTCTACAAACATCTACTGTCCAAAGGCCTGATCCCAAAGCCATGATTTTAATTTCTTTCTAAAAACCAGAGGGAGGGAGCAGATCTTACCTCATTTGGGAGCGTGTTCCATAGGCGAGGGGCCACAGCCGAGAAGGCCCTGTCTCTCATCCCCGCCAGACGTATTTGCACAATTGACGGGAGTGAGAGCAGGGCCTCCCCGGATGATCTTAGATTATGAGATGGGACGTAGGGGTGGATGCATTCGGACAAGTAAGCTGGGCCAGAATCATATAGAGCTTTATAGGTCAAAACCAGCACTTTGAATTGGGCTCGGAGATGGACTGGCAGCCAGTGGAGCTGGCACAACAGGGGGTGGGGGGGTGGTATGCTCCCTGTATGTCGCCCCAGTTAGTAATCCGGCTGCCACCTGTTGGACTAGCTGAAGTTTCCAAACCATCTTCAAAGGCAGCCCCACGTAGAGCACGTTGCAGTAATCTATTCGGGATGTAACCAGAGCGTGGACGACCGTGGCCAGATCAGACTTCCCAAGGTATGGGCACAGCTGGTACACGAGTTTTAACTGTGCAAAAGCTCCCCTGGCCACCGCCGAAACCTGGGGTTCCAGGTTCAGCGATGAATCCAGGATCACTCCCAAGCTGCGAACCTGCATCTTCAGGGGAGCTCACCCCCGCTCCCCAGATTCACCTTCTTATTATTATTATTTGCCGTCACATTATTATTATGGTATTGCTATTAATATTGGAGCCCCCGGTGGCACAGCAGGTTAAAGGTCAGCAGTTTGAATCTGGGGAGCGGGGGTGAGCTCCCACTGTTAGCCCCAGCTTCTGCCAACCTAGGAGTTTGAAAATATGTAAATGTGAGTAGATCAATAGGCACTCCATGCAGCCATATGACCTTGGAGGTGTCTAAGGACAACGCCGGCTGTTCAGCTTAGAAATGGACATGAGCACCACCCCCAGAGTCAGACTCAACTAATCTTTACCTTTACCTATTATTAATGTTGTTATCATTAAGTTATTATTACATAGTGTTTCATCATTATTGTTATTGCATTATTATTATGGTATTATTACTATTATTGTTATTATCATATTTATATCCTGCTTTTTCTTTTTAAAAAGAGACCCAAAAAGCACCTACAGTAATAGCATTAGTAGTAGTAGTAGTAGTAATTTAACACTGCTGTTAAACACTGCTACATTATTATCATTACGGTATTGTTATATTTGTATCCCGCTTTATCTTTCTAAAGAGAGATCCAAAAGAAATTATATTATTAATACTACTACTATAACAGAAATCATAGAATCATAGAATCATAGAATCAAAGAGTTGGAAGAGATCTCATGGGCCATCCAGTCCAACCCCCTGCCAAGAAGCAGGAATATTGCATTCAAATCACCCCTGACAGATGGCCATCCAGCCTCTGTTTAAAAGCTTCCAAAGAAGGAGCCTCCACCACACTCCGGGGCAGAGAGTTCCACTGCTGAACGGCTCTCACAGTCAGGAAGTTCTTCCTCATGTTCAGATGGAATCTCCTCTCTTGTAGTTTGAAGCCATTGTTCCGCGTCCTAGTCTCCAGGGAAGCAGAAAACAAGCTTGCTCCCTCCTCCCTGTGGCTTCCTCTCACATATTTATACATGGCTATCATATCCCCTCTCAGCCTTCTCTTCTTCAGGCTAAACATGCCCAGCCAGCTCAGTCGGTTCTCCCAAATAAAAAGAAACAACTTGCAGTAGATAAGGTTCAACTCTTTAGGGCAATATTTTATTTCAGCTCAGAGCTGGGAATGGGGGGAAATAGGCTGGTGCTTATATGTAACTCCATTCTTCAGAAGGTTTCTACTACTTATTGTGACTGCTCTGCAGTCCTATAATGAATCGGTAGCCTACTGATAGCCGGCCAACTTGAGGACAGTTGGGTACCGGGCACGGTGGGCCATACATTTCTGCCGGTCGATAAAGATACTGTTAGCCTTGACCGCAATCTCCTTCTCCAGGGTCATCCGGGTGTCCTCCAGGTTCCTCAGAGCCTGCTCAGAGTCCAAAAGCTTCTTCTTCAGAGCCTCAATGGACTCCATCAGTTCCTCCACTTCGCTGATCAGCCTGGAAAAAGAAACAGGGAGGAAATGGGATTTAGAAGTTTGAAAGTCTGCGGTTGTTGTGTGCCTTCGAGTTATTTCTGACTGACAGTGAACCTAAAGCAAAGCTGTTGAGTGATTTCAGCTACCGCCAAGCTGTGGGTTCAGAAGCCCAGCATGTCTCATGAATGCTTTTCAACCATTTAAAAGGTTCTTTTATTCCATTTTCTGTGAGACAGTGTATGTTCGGTATTTTACAGAGAAAGAAGTTGACACACAGACTATAGAGCTACATTGGGTTACACAAACAAAAGGGATATTACATTTTACTCAGCATTCACATCCATATACACTCAGTGTCCAATGCATACATTACCATCCCTTTTTCCTTCTCCTAGAGAAGAGGACCAAATGTGGGCTAGAACACGCTCCCTGCAAATCTGCCATTCTGCCAATACACCATCTTCCTCCATGCCTTGGAGAAAGTGGTGGGTGTGCAGACCCTGCATTCCTGCAGATCCACTTTTGGAAAATAAGAAGGACTCTTAAATTCCATTTTTCTGCTGTTGTTGTTCAAGAAGTTGCAAATGACTAACAAGTTGTTTTTCCTGGTTGACTGTCCTATTTATGCAAATTACCTGGTTGACTGTCCTATACATGCAAATTACTTGTCCGAACGCATCTCCCCCTATGAACCATCACGGAGATTAAGATCCTCCGGGGAGGCCCCGCTTTCCGTCCTGCCATTTTCGCAGGCATGATTGGTGGGGACGAGAGACAGGGCCTTCTCGGTGATTGCCCCCTGGCTATGGAACTCCCTTCCTGGTGAGATCAGGTCGGCCTCCTCTTTTGTCCTTTAGAAGGATGGTAAAAACTTGGCTGTGGAACCAAGCTTTCGGGACAGGGCAATGAAGCGGCAATGGGAAAGATGACAGGGCAAATTGGATTTGATGTGGATAGCTAGGACAGTTTAAAATGGTGTATTTTAATATTTTGATAAATGTTTTTTTTATTGTTTATGTATTGTATGTGAATTTGTGGCCCAGCATTGAATGTTTGCCGTGTATATGCTGTGCTCCACCCTGAGTCCCCTTTGGGGTGAGAAGGGAGGAATATAAATGTTTTAAATAAATAATAAATAAATATTTAGAAATAAAGTTCTTTAAAGAAAGCCTTTTCTAGCTTGATTCTCCTCCTGCAATTGCTCATTTGCTCTACTGCTATCCTCAAGAAGCTTCTTCTCTGCTGAAACTGCTACTGTTGCTGTTGTTGATTCACATTCTCATTTTTTTCTTTTTGAAATTACCCAATACTTGTCTTTCTCAGAGTTGGTTGCAGACAGCCGTCTCATTTCATGGCACGACACGAAAAACTGCAAAAGTCGGAAAGCAGCCAGTGGTTTCTAGAGTTTTCTCTCTTTTGTACAAATGTGTTACCGATGGTGTACTGGATGTTGGCTGCTCTTCCCTCTAGGTGTGTGTTTGCAGGAAAAATCAATGCCCGCTTCATTACCTCTGCACCAGCAGCGGTTTGAGTTCATAACCTTTCCGTTGCGACGGCAGCAATCCATATGAAACAAGGAACTGGATAAAAGAAGCGTTCTAGTTGCCTGTTGCAATTTCCACGGGGTCATAAAATCCTAGAGTTGGAAGGGATCCCAATTTGGAGGCACACGCCTTTTAAGATCAAGAGCCCAAATAATGGCTTACATAGAATCCTAGCATTGGAAGAGACTACAGACCATTCTGCTGTAGAGGAACACATAATCCAAGCCCTCCTGACAGATGGCCATCCAGCCTTGGCTTAAAAATTTCCAGAGAAGGAGACTCAACTGGACTCTCAAGTAGCATATTTTGACAGGAAGGTCTTCCTAATGTCTTTCCTGCAATTGGAATCAATTGCTTCATTTTGTCCTAATCTCCAGTACAGCCAAAAAAGCAATCCTGTGTCATCTTCAGTATGTATTATTCAAATATTTTAACATGACTCTCATGTGTTGTTGAAGGCTTTCATGCTGGAATCATTGAGTTGCTGTGAGTTTTTTGGGCTGCATGGCCATGTTCCAACAGCATTCTTTCCTGGCATTTCCACTGCAACTGTGGCTGGCATGTTCAGAGATGCTGCTGGCAGTGAAGCAAGAGGGTGTATATATATCTGTGGAATAATGTCTATAGTGGGGAAAAGAACCCTCGTCTGTTTAAAGCAAGTGTGAATATTGCAATCAGTAAGCAAGAATAGCAGTGAGTAGCCATGAAACTGCAAAGTCAATCAGTGAGGGTATCTGCATAGATGTAGCCTTACCTTTGTTGCCTGGAGCATCCTCATTTGGGAGGTGTTAACTGGCACTTGACCATTATATCAGTTGACCATTATATCAGTTAACCATTATATCAGACTACAGAGAGAAGGCATTGAAATCCACAATCATGTGAACAATTTCAACAGAAAGGATATCATGAAAATAAACAAAATATTATTACCAGTATTGAAAAACACCAGAATCAAGACAGTAAATAACGAACATTGCTCAGAAACATGGGAACTCCAGACAGCAATCAAGTACCAGTGAACTCCTCCCAAACAGAGGGTGCCTCCAGGCAACAGAGGCCAGACCACCTCTATGCAGATACCTTCACTGATGGACTTTGCAGTTTCATGGCTACTCAATGCTATACAAACATGCTAAATGCAACATTCACTCTTGCTTTAAACAGACAAGGGTTCTTTCTCACACTCTGGACATTCCACATAGATAGATAGATAGATAGATAGATAGATAGATAGATAGATAGATAGACAGACACTCCACTTGCCTCACTTCCAACAGAACTCTGACGATGCCAGCCACAAATGCAGGCAAAACGTTAGGAGAGAATGCTGCTGGAATATGGCCATACCCAATGACTCTCATGTCCACTCTCATGTGCCACACATCCTTATATCTGTGCATTTCATGATTAATGCCAAAGTGTTGTACCATACATTTTTCTTTTTGTTTGTTTTGGCCAATCAGTTCTCCCAACCATTAAGAACATTTTTTATCCCTGGTGGCGCAGCGAGTTAAACCGCTGAGCTACTGAACTTGCTGACTAAAATGTTGGCGGTTTGAATCTGGGGAGCGGGGTGAGCTCCAACTGTTAGGCCCAGTTTCTACCAACCTAGCAGTTTGAAAACATGCAAATGTAAGTAGATCAATAGGTACCACTCCGGCGGGAAGGTAACAACGCTCCATGCCGTCATGCTGACCACATGACCTTGGAGGTATCTATGCACAACACCGGCTCTTCAGTTTAGAAATGGAGATGAGCACCACCCTCCAGAGCCAGACACAACTAGACTTAATATCAAGGTAAACCTTTACCTTTACTTATACCTCTCTAGTATTAACTCTCTCTCTCCCAATTTGGAGTCATTTGCAAAAGGATCCGCATGTCTTCTAAACCTTCATCCAAGTCAGTGATAAAGATGTTGAACAGCCCTGAAAGGCCTAGGACAGAGCCCTCTTTATGGCATCCAGACATTCCTTTCCAGGATGAAAAGGAGCCAAAGAAGCTTTGGGTTCGATTGCTCAACCCATTCCCAACCCACTTCACAGTAGTATCATCCAGCCCACATTTTATTCGTTTGTTTGCAAGATCATCATGGGAGACTTATTGAAAAAGAGATATGCTCCATACACAGAATTCCCTGCATCTGTAGCAGTTCGAAAACATGCAAATGTGAGTAGATCAATAGGTACCGCTCCAGCGGGAAGGTAACGGCGCTCCATGCAGTCATGCCGGCCACATGACCTTGGAGGTGTCTATGGACAACGCTGGCTCTTCGGGTTAGAAATGGAGATGAGCACCACACCCCAGAGTCAGGCATGACTGGACTTAATGTCAGGGGAATACCTTTACCTACCAAGCTGCTAAGTCTATATTGAAGGAGGCTCACCTGAACTGGGCCGCATCTCTACAAAGATCAACGTTCGGTCTGAAGGAGCGGTCATAGAGCCTGGTCTGGGCCACCTTGAGGGGTGTCTCTTTATCTTTGATGGCTTGCTTGAGAGCTGCAATGTTGTGCTCCTGGTCCCCGATCTCTTTGAGGATCTGTTGGGGGAAAAGGCACATCAGGAGGGGAGAAAGAAGTGTGTTTGAAATCCAAAGTCAGCCCCTCCACCTTTGCCAGTTGGACTTTTGCAGATTCGATTATTCACAGATTGGATTAATACAGCATTTCTCAACCTGGGGGTTGGGAACCCTTGGGAGGGGGGTTGTGAGAGGGTGTCAGAGGGGTCGCCAAAGACCATCAGAAAACATAGTATTTTCTGTTGGTCATGGATATTCTGTGGGGGAAGTTTGTCCCAATTCTATTGTTGGTGGGGTTCAGAATGCTCTTCAACTCCCAAACGTCCAGGTCTATTTTCCCCAAACTCCACCAGTATTCATATCTGGGCATATTGGGTTTTCCTGCCAAGTTCTGTCCAGATCTATCATTGTTTAGGTCTCTTGATGTAGGTGAACTACAACTCCAAAACTCAAGATCAATGCCCACCAAACCCTTCCAGTATTTTCTGTTGGTCAGGGGAGTTCTGTGTGCCGAGTTTGGTTCAATTCCATCATCGGTGGAGTTCAGAATGCTCTTGGATTATAGGTTAACTAGAAATCCCAGCAACTACAACTCCCAAATGGCAAAATCAATAACCCACCACCACCCCACCAATGTTCAAAATTGGGGCGTACCGGGTATCTGTGTCAAATTAGGTCCAGTGAATGAAAATGCATATGTGATATTTACATTACGATTCATAACAGTAGCAAAGTAATGGTTATGAAGTAGCAACAAAAATAATGTTATAGTTGGGGCTCACCACAACATGAGGAACTGTATCAAGGGGTCACAGCATTAAGAAGGTTGAGAAACACTGGATTAATACGTTACCCCTTAAATAATTTCTAGCTCCTCTAGCATGACTCTAAGACTGCCTTCCATTATAGAGTTGGACTGGAAGATCCCAGGATTTCTAGAGAGAACACTTCTCTAGGCATTTCTAAGTTGGAGCCTGAACAACAGCATTTCTCATTTACCAGTACTTTTTACATTTTTTAAATAGGGTCCTGCACCCCTAACTTCAGCAGAAGTGGAGTTGTTTGGAAAGGAAGATGGCTTCTGCCAGCCTTTTTGTTCTTTCTTGCAGGATCGTGGCACAACAAAGGGTCATCCAGTCCAACCCTCCCTTCTGCCATTTGAGGAAATGAGAGATAATTTAAAGCCAAATGATAATAAAGGAACAACAGTACAATAAGATGCTGCTCTATTTTGCTGGAACAGACAGCACAAAAAGTCTCAACAGGAGTCGTTTAGCAGCCTCTCGGCTCAATTCACTATGCTTGAAAACAGTGTAATCTCTGAAATTAATCCTGCCATTTCCCAGCCTCTGAAATGAGCCTTGCAGAAAGAGGATTAGTGCAAAATAGTGGAAGCTAAGTGGAACTCTCATCAAAAGGTCCAGTTTAGGTTTTGGTTCGAACTGTTATGGAGCTGCAGAGACTTTTGCAGGCAGCAAATAGGATCCATTGTTTTGAGTAATGTCTTAAAATTTGGACTAAAGGTCAGTGCAGATAGACTGACCTTTGCACAAACATATACAAAACAAGGCTTGTCATCCACTGTCTTCAAATCAGCATTGATTTATGGGAACTTCCAAGGGCAGCACCTACATTGTCAACTGCAGTTTCGCTGTCTGCGGCACAGATCTCGCTATCCGCTGCCATTTTAAATTACTCTATTTCAATTGGCGACCCAGATGGGACCCTGTTTGGTGGCTGCCTGGTCCTAGAGCTCTGAGGCTGGCCTCGTCTCGACAGATTCGGCCAGAGCGCACACTGGACTCCTTTCAACCCTGCTTTAACTGCCCTAGAACCCTGGGAGTTATAGTTTGGTGAGATTTCCTGGGCAGACAAGACCTTGCAAAACGACAACTCCGAGAATCCCATAACATTTCACCATGGAAGTTGAAGTAGCGCCTAACTGCATTACATCTACAGTGTAGATGCACCCCAACTCACCCTTATCTTGATCAGTCCTGCTTTGCAGCCTCTCAGCTGCTTTGAAACTCTTTTAAGACAGAAAAAGCAGAATATAAATACTACTTCTACTAATAAATTGCAGTCTTGCAAAGTCAGGAATCGGTGGCTTTCTTATTAGAGACTTATGTAGCTATAATTGTGATTTTCAGATTATTATTTTTTACTTTACCAGGTATGACTGCCTTTTTTTTCTATGGAGTCTTGTCTTCTCAAGATATGCCCAAAGCAGAACAGCCTGAGTTAAACTGCCTTGGCTTCTAAGGGGAGTTTCAATCTCCCTTAGCTTTGAGGAGCCATTCGGTTTCCTTTTTGGAGGAAGCCTAGGCTGTGAGACAATGCGGACAGACCCAAGGCACGTACTTTCTTCAGGTGGTGCTCCAGCTTGTGCTTGGCGTCCTCCAGGATCTCGCAGTGCTTGGCGAAGGCCTGGTTGACCAAGTCACTCTGGGTGTGCAGGTCCTCGGCTGTGTCGTGCAGGATGTTGTCAATCAAGGCCCTGAGGTTGACGGAGGCCAGCTTCTCCCGCTCGGCCCGGTAGATGTTGTCATGGCTGTGCTTGGCCCAGGTTTCCGGCGTGGAAGCACTGGAGAAAGAGGGGCAATGGAATTGGGATAAGCCAAGAGCACGATGCAGCCGCAGAAAAGGCAAATGCAATTCTAGGCTGCGTCAAAAGGAGTCTTGTCTATTTCTGGGGGTGGAATAGAGAAAGAGTAAAACACAAACAACACCCCTGCCAGGTAGGGGAAGCAACTTAAGGAGTTGCATTGGAGAATCTAAGTGATTCTATGACAGGCATGGGCAAACTTGGACCCTCCAGGTGTTTTGGACTTCAACTCCCACAATTCCTAACAGCCCCAGGCCCTTTCCTTTTCTCCCTCCACCACTTAAGCTGTTAGGAATTGTGGGAGTTGAAGTCTAAAACACCTGGAGGGCCCAAGTTTGCCCATGCCTGCTCTACGATATCATTTCCTTAGAAATTACCATACAGTTGCATTGGAGGGATCTAGGTGATTCTATGGTACCCTTCCTTCTTGAATAGAGTCTTATCTACTAATAGGGATCTTTAGATCCTCCAAGACAAACCTACAACATTCAAATCTGTGGTAAAACCCAGTTTCTTTCAGCAGAGTTATATTATTGAAGTTTATTTTACCGGGCACTACATGTTTTGAACTGGTGTTATGTGTCCAAACCTTTGCAATCTTTCAGTCGGATGTTATTCCACACCGCAGTTTACAGGGGGGTAAAGAAAGAAAGAAATCTTATCTTTCTGCCTGTGAATTGAGCCCAGACACAAATCAAAGAACACGCAAGGCACTGCAGAGTAATCCAACCAGGGAAGTCAGCTAAAGCAAAACATTTGATGAAGCAACCTGGACACAGAATATTATTTGAGAACACAGAAATGCTGGACCACTCTCACAACCATCATGTTAGACTACACAGAGAAGCCATTGAAATCCACAAGCATGTGGACAACTTCAACAGAAAGGAGGAAACCATGGCATGAATAGATTTTGTTTGTGTGTTGGGCTAGTACAGTGGAGTGGGTTAAACCACCTGCTATATAGAAGATCCTGCTGAGTGAAAGGTTGGTAGCTCAGTTCAAGCCCAGGTCAGGGTGAGCTCCCACCATCAGCTCAGCTTCTGCTCACCTAGCATTTAGAAAACAACTATGTAAGTAGATAAATAGGTACCACTTTGGCAGGGAGGTAAAAGGCGCGCTGAAAAAACATTCCGGCAAAAATCCAACCATGAAAGGCGTCCATGGATGACAGGCCCCTCTGCATGGAAAATGAAACAACAGCACCTCCCCATGGCCAAGTCAAGGCACTGCCAGATGCAGGAGATGAAAAGGGGGAAGCCTCATCTCTGTTCACATACTGTCTGTCTTTGTCTATTGTATAATGCAATTGAATGTTTGCCATATATGTCCCTGCAATCCAATCTGAGTCCCCTCAGGGAGATAGAGCAGAATATAAATAAAGTATATTATTTATATTATTATTACCATTTTTTTAAAAAAAAACACCAAAATCAAGACAGTAAAAAAGAACACCACTCAGCAACGGAGAAATTCCAGGCAGCAATCAAGGGCCTGCTTCTTGGCAGGGGGTTAGACTGGATGGCGCATGAGGTCTCTTCCAACTCTATGATTCTATGAGTCTAAGGGCCAGTTAACACCTCCCAAACAGAGAGTGCCTCCAGGCAACAACGGCCAGGCTACCTTTATGCAGATACCCTCACTGATTAACTTTGCAACTTCGTAGCTCCTCAATGCTATTCAAGCTTGCTAATTGCAACATTCACACTTGCTTCAAACAGACAAGGGTCTTTTTTCCCACCCTGGACATTTCACAGATATATATACACTGTAGCTTCACTGCCAACAGACCACTGAAGATGCCATTAGCCACAGATGCAGGTGAAACATTAGGAGAGAATGCTGCTGGAACATGGCCATCCAGCCCGAAAAACTCACAGCAACCCAATAAAGATATCATTGCTGTTGAGTTCCTACAATAAAACGTCAGTTTGTTTCCTACAGTGTTCACAGATTCTTGACAATATAATTGTTTTCCTGCATTTGTTCAACTGGTGTGGGATAGAAAAACCTGGACAAATGGAGCATATGGAATTCTGGAGAGAAGGAACTCTATGCTGCAACATTTTGTTGCATTTCCGATTAGCCTTTGCCAGCTTCCATCCACAGATGTAGGCCATTCGGGGTGATCTCACCTGTCCTCCAGCTTAGAAGAGCTTGGGTGGAACCGGATGTTGGTGCTCTGGTTGTTGTACCTCCCACACTTCTCGTCAATGTTGTATGTCTCCAATTTGTCGGACCAATCCATTTCGCAGACCTCCTTGTGATCCCGATTTAACCTGAAGGCACAAGGCATTATCACTTCGAAGGGGCAGGAATCCAGAGCTTATATTTTGAACTGATATAAAATATTTCAGTTCTGTTCTTTTTATTCTTGAGGTCAGGGATGGCAAAGGGATAAAGCACTGGAAACTATTCCAAAGGAAAAGAAATAACTGAGACAAGATTACAAAACAAAAAAATCTATTGAACTGTGTGTTGTCAAAGGCTTTCATGGCCAGAATCACTGGGTTGCTGTGAGTTTTCCAGGATGTATGGCCATGTTTCGCCCACATCTATGACAGGTATCCTCAGAGGTTGTGAGGTCAGAGGATGCCTGCCATAGATGTGGGCAAAACGTCAAGAGAAAATGCTTCTGGAACATGGCCATACAGCCTGGAAAACTCACAGAAACCTAGCTATTGCACGGTTCAAAGTAAACTGCTTTGAGTATCTTTAAGAGAGAAAAAGGTTGTATATAAATAACAACAACAACAATAATATAAAATAATAAAAATATAATGATGGTGATGATGATGATCTTCATCATCACCCAGTTTGCTGTGTTAAAGATAACAATAACAACAATAATAATATAATATAATAATCCAATATAATAATAACATGATAATGATAATAATATGATGAGGAGGAGGATAATAATTATCGTCATCATCACCCAGTTTGCTGTGTTAAAGATAACAATAACAATAATAATATATTATAATTATACAACATAATAACATAAGTATAATAATATAATGATGAAGAGGAGAGTAATAATGATCGTCATCATCACACAGTTTGCGTGTTAAAGATAACAATAACAAGAATAATAATATAATATAATAATACAATATAATAATAACATGATAATGATAATAATATTATGAAGAGGAGGATAATTATTATCGTCATCATCAACCAGTTTGCCTATTAGACTCTCCAGAACGGACCTACAACATTTTCAACTTTCTTAGTCTATGCCACCATCTGGTGGCAACAACAGGCAAAGGAAAGCATGACCTCTTTCCCCTTTTTATTTGTCTTTTAAATAGGACAACTTAAAGTAGGGCAGCCTCCATGGTTTGGGAGTTGTGGTTTTACAAGATCTTTCACCTTCTCTGCCCAAAATGCCGGTGCCTCCGCAAACTATAGCTCCCAAAATCCCGTAGCATTGAACCATGGCACTTTAAGTGGTATAGAGTAGAATACATTCCACAGTGTAGTTAAGAAAGACTGACTGGCCTTTGGGAACTCTCTGGATCCCAGACACCCTGAATGCTATTTGGAGATATAATAAATGCCCATAAATAAACAAACTTGGTGCCAATGTGGTTCAAGTATTGGATTACACCCGGGAGACCAAGGTTCAATTCCTTGCTTAGTTATGAAAACCCATTGGGTGGCCTTGGGTGAGTCACACTGTCTCAGCCCCATAATCCCTATTAGGATTTTCGAAAATAAGTAGAACTCTGTGCAAAAGGGTGTCCATCAGAGGGAAGCCTAGAAAAAAGCATGCAGGTTGGTAGGTGTGGTATTTTTCAAAAGGCAAAAAGAATACAGGTCCAAAGTTGGGAGAAAAAAATAGAACATAAATCCAACAAAGGGGAAACACATGAATGCATGTGTATATACCAGGTGTGGGCAAACCCAGACCCGGGGGCTGGATGCGCCCCCTTGGGCTCTTTTCTCAGGCCCTCCTCTCTCACACCATCGTATCCTTCCTTCTCTCTTTCCTCCCTCCTTCCCCCCTCTTTCTCCTTCCCTTCTACCCTTTCGTCCTTCCTTCCTTCTCTCCCTCTTTCTCCTTCCTTCCCTTTTGTCTTTACTTCCTTCTCTCTTTCCTCCCTCCCGCCCCTTTCTCTGAAAAATTCTGCAAATGTCTTGGGAAGACAGGCAGACAAATGTCAGTGTGCTGGAAGAAGCAAAGACCACCAGCACTGAAGTGATGCTCCTACGCCATCAACTCCACTGGACTGGCCACGCTGTCCGAATGCCCGATCACCATCTCCCAAAGCAGTTACTCTGCTCCCAACTCAATAATGAGAATCATAACATTGGTGGACAGGAAAAAGAAATTTAAAGATAGGCTTAAAGCCAACCTTTAAAACTGTGGCATAGACACCAAGAACTGGGAAGCTCTGGCCCTTGAGCACTCTAACTGGAGATCAGCTGTGACCAGCAGTGCTGCAGAATTTGAAGAGGCACAAGTGGAGGGTGAAAGGGAGAAACGTGTGAAGAGGAAGGCATGTCAAACCAACTCTGACCGGGACCGCCTTCCATCTGGAAACCAATGTTCTCACTGCAGGAGAACATGCAGATCAAGAATATGGCTCCACAGCCACCTACGAACCCACCGCCAAGACACCAGATTTGTAAGACCATCATCCTCAGGCTATGAGGGATTGCCTAACACAAATACACTATGCTTTCAGTTGTAAAAAACTACAGGATGCATACTGATTGAAACTGAGTATTTCTTAATGTGATAAGGTCCATGTGTGCCTTCAAATCCTTTCTGAGCCTTTCTCAACCTATCACGAGGTTCTCAATGCAAAGTTTGTTTGGAAGACATTTGCCACAGCCTTCCTCTGAGGCTGAAGGAGTGTGATTCGGCCAAAGGAGGCTCTCAGGGCAGATAAGGATTTGAACCCTGGTCTCTGGACTCATGGTTCGGAGGTGCAATACTTCCCTTGAGACTAATGGTGTTTTTACGGGATCCAGTCCCTGGGACCTGTCCAAAAAGTGACCCCTTTTCACTTCCATCCATCAGTGTGTTGACCTAGAATCACTGAAAGGTGGGAGAGGTCTCATGGAGTGGATCATTGGTCTCAAGGGGGTATTTCAGCTCTGGAGTCACGCCAACCATTGGTGGATTATGAAGGTTAACAAGGGAATCTTACTGTATTTGATTCACCACTTGCTTAATGGTTCTTTTCAGCAGCTCTTGGACATTTCGAACGAGCTCCGCTTCCTAGAACACAAAACAACGGCAGAGACATTAGCAGCGGGAAGAGCGAATTTCCTTTTGGAAAGGAAGGATGCTCTAGATCATGACCGGGTCCATGTCCTAGAAAGAGGTCTCGGAGATGCCATGGAAAGCCAAGCATCCTTCTAGTGAGCCCCAAATCCCTCCCAGAAACAGAAGGAACAGTCAACAAAGGCTTCCAGTGCATCTACATTATAGAATGAATACAGTTTAATGTTGCTTTAACCACTGTGGTTAAATGCTAAGGAATCCTGAGAATCCTAGTTGCAACTGCAACTCGGATTCCAAAATATAGAGCCGTGACAGTTAAAGCGACATCAAATTGTGTCTGTTCAACAGTGCAGATGCACCTTTGGGAACTTTCAGGGCAGTGCTTTCACCCTGAGATTTCTCATCCTTCTTGGCAGGCCTAAGCACTTAGAAGATTTTGGTGCCCCCATATAGATCTAAATCACAATATAGATGATAATAAACAGAAAAAATGTGTTTATTTTACTTTTTTGCACTTTTTGCATTTTGGCACTCCTTATGGTCCATGGTAATTCCTCTTCCCTTGGTGCCTGAGGCATAGGCTTATTTAACTTCATAGTAAATCCATCCTTACCTTTTGGAGTGAAGTCCAGAGAAGAGAAAGCCAAACCTTAGAGTTGGAAGAGATTCCCAGAGGCCATCCAGCATAACCCTCTTCTGCCAGACAAAAGGGCAAAAACTAATCCCTCCCAACAGATGGTCATCCAGCCTCTCTTTAAAGGTCTCCAGAGAAGGAGCCTCCACAACATTCCCAGGCAGCAGCATATACCTCTGTTGAAAAGCTCTTACCATCACAAGAAGTACTTCCTAATGTTCAGGTGGAATCTCTTTTCCTGCAGTTTGAATCCATGGCTCCATTATTTCCCAATCTCTGTAGGAGTGGAAAACAAGCCTGTCCCTTCTCCCTCAATGGGACCTCCTTTCAAACACTGAAATGTGACACTCTTGTCCCCTCTTAGCCTCCTGCAGGTTAAACATACCCGGTTCAAAGGAATACATAGTTTCCAAAGGTTTGACCATTTTGAACCCCTTCCATCTTGTCCATCTCCTTCATGAATTGCTTTGTCCTGAACTGGACACTGGGTTATTATTCCAGCAGAAAAGAATGAGACTGTGACCTCCTTCAATCTGGACATTGTACATCTATTGGTGCAGGCTAGAATCGTATTGGCTTTTTTAGCTGCTGCATTCCATTGTTGGCTCATGTTCAGCTTGTGGTTTACAAAGACTCCCAGATCCCTTTTCCATTGACTGTTTTCAAGTCATGTGCCTCTCATTCTAGATCTGTACATGTAATGTTTATAGCAAAGCTTTCCAAACACACTCCTGTGTCACCTGTTGTCCACAAGTGTGTCACCTGAAAAAGCTCCCCCACCCACAAAGGAAGGAACCCTCAAAGGCTATCTAGTCCAACCCCCTTCCAGCAGGCAGGAAGACAGTCAAAGCCTCAGATCAAAAACCTCTGCAGATGGAGACTCCACTGTCCCCCCAGGCGATCTACACTGCACTAGAGTTTTAGGGAGGGATCCCCAAAGGGCATCTAGTCCAGCTTCTTTCAGCCAGGCAGAAAGGCACAGTCAAAACACCCCCAACAGATGGTCATCAAGTCTCTCTTTAAAAACCTCCAAAGAGACCCCAAAGGGTATCTAGTCCAGCTTCTTTCAGCCAGGCAAGAAGACACAGTCAAAGTATCCTCAACAGATGGTCATCTAGCCTTTCTTTTAAAACCTTCAAAGAGGTTTAATCCCAATAGAAGTGGAATGCTGATGTTGTTCAAGCAAGATTAAGGTAAAACATGTAAAATTTGCACAATTTGTTGATTGACTTGCAGCAAGTACCACAAAAAATGTATACTTTTCTAGCGAAGGAAAGAAAATCTGTTGACAATGATGTTTGCGATGAACCCCACAGAGCGGTTACAGAGGAAATGACACAAGAATTGACAAAATTTATTATATATGTGTTACATGTTACAATGTGAAACTCTTACAAGGGGTTGTTAGGAATTGTGGGAGTTGAAGTCCGAAACAACTGGAGGGCCGAAGTTTGCCTATGCCCACTTTAGACATTACCATAGTTGAATTGGAAGGATCTAGGCCAGTGTTTCTCAACCTGTGGGTCCCCAGGTGTTTTGGCCTACAACTCCCAGAAATCCCAGCCAGTTTGCCATCTGTTAGGATTTCTGGGAGTAGAAGGCCAAAACATCTGGGGACCCGCAGATTGAGAACCACTGCTCTAAGCAGTTCTATGGTCTCCTTCCCCTGGATGAAGAGAGTCTCATCTAGCGATGGGGATCTTTAGCAACTTGGTAGGTTTGCAACTCTCTGGTCTGCTGCTTTGGTACATGAGTCAACTGCACCCGTTTCTGGAGAAATCTGACTTGGCTACGGTTGTATGCACACTGGTTACATCCCGGTTGGACTACTACAATGCGCTCTATGTGGGACTGCCCTTGAAAAGTGTCCGGAAACACCAATTGGTTTAGTACATGGCAGCCAGACTGCTCATTGGAGCTGACTCCAGGGAGCGTACCACACCCCTGCTGAGACAGCTCCACTGGCTCCTGATTGCTTTCCGGGCCCAAATTAAGGTGGTATTCAGTCCAGGATACATGAAACATCATGTCCTACCATATAAGCAAGGTAGATTGTTAAGATAGAGTAGTGAAATGCTCCTATCCACTCAGCTTAGTCACAGCCATCATTTAAAGTTGGCTAGAGATGGCACATTCTCAGTTGCGGTACCAAAACTGTGGAACGCTTTCCCAGAAGCGATAAGAGCAGCCCCCACCCTCTTGGACGTTAGGAAAAACTTGAAAACTTTCCTGTGTTGAATAGCTTTTAACTAAGGTGATAGAAGCCTAGGACCTGCACTTTATAACTATATATTATTTTAGAATGCTATAAATCATCCCTGACTTAGGTTTCATTTAAAAGGTAAAGGTTTCCCCTGACATTAAGTCTAGTTGTGTCCAACTCTGGGGAGTGGTGCTCTTCCCATTTCTAAGCCGAAGAGCCAGTGTTGACCATAGATACCTCCTAGGTCATGCAGCCAACATGATTGCATGGAGTACCGTTACCTTCCCGCATAAGTAGTATCTATATTCTACTCACAGTTGCATGTTTTCGAACAGTTAGGTTGGCAGAAAGTGGGCCTAACAGTGGGAACTCACCCCGCTCCCCGGATTTGAACCGCTGACCTTTCGGTCAGCAAGTTCAGCAGCTCAGCGGTTTAACCCACTGCCCCACCAGGGATTATTTTAATGAGTTTTTTATACTGTTATGTTTTATCTATTATTGTAAACTACCTTGAGTCCTTGATATAATGAATTGTATAATATATAATTGTATAATGTTTTTCATGATTTTAAATGTTTTAAATGTAATTTTTTGATTGTTTATATGTTGATAGCATCATATGATGCTTGTGTGAATCTACCCTGAGCCCCCCTTTGAGGGGAGAAGGACGGGGTAGAAATACATGAAATAAATAATAAATATAGAAGTGCCCAAATAAGTAAATGATCCATGCTCCTTACCTTGAGCAACTCGGCCTCCACCTGGTCGCGCACCAGGTCTGGGTGCTGCCTCCGCTCGCGGCACTGCAGGTTGTCCATGGCCAGGCTGTAGAGCACCTCGGTGGCATCCAGAGCCCGCTCTAGCCGCCGCTTCTGGGCCACCTGTAGATCTGTCTCGGTCACCAGGTCCTCAATCTCCCGTTGCAACTCTGACTTCCAGAAGTGGATGTCCTGCAGGCGCTCGCCCACTTTGGCCGTGGAGTCCTGCTGGGTCCGCTCGGCCAGTTCACCCGTGTAGGCCGCCAGGCTCTGCGACTCCTGTCGCACCCGCTCCGAATGGTCCCGGTCAGCGAAGGCCTCATAATAACGGGTGTAATTGTGCTGGTTCCATTCCTCAAGCAGGTACTTGGCTGTGCGGAAGCCTGCTGTGGCCAAACCTGAGGAGGAGTCCAGGCCGGTGTTGAAGGCTGGTTCGTACACCTTCATGGGCAGCTCAGAGACGGGGACAGTTTGCGGAGCAGGCTCCTGGGTCAGAAGGACTGATGGGTGAGACATGGCTAGGCCGCAGAACGGATCCAAACAGTAGTACGTTTAGAACCTCCACCTACAAAAGTCTCAACAGCAGGTATTCTGCATTCCAATGCCTATCCTATGGATCCCAATGCCAAGGGGTTGACAACTAGGCTTCAGTATCTTACATTACATATATCTCAATACAAAATAGTCAATAATCCGGAAGCTCCTGAAGCTTAACTGATGCTGCTGCTGTTGACACTGCTTAGCGTCTCTCCGTTGCTATGAACAACACTTCCCAGCCAATGAGCATATGGGTTCAAGTTGCACGGCAACGGAAGGGAAGAAAGTGTTCTCTTTGTTTTTCTTTACTTAAGCCTTTCCAAATAAAATTAAGTAGGGTTATTAGTTAGTTAGTTGCACCTTTACAGATGTATTGTTGAAGGCTTTCATGGCCAGAATCAATGGGTTGTTGTGAGTTTTCCGGGATGTATGTCCATCCTTAAGCGGCTGAGGGGGAAAAGAAAAGGGGCCTGAGGCTGTTAGGAATTGTGGGAGTGGAAATCCAAAATACCTGGAAGACCAAAATTTGACCATGCCTGTTCTAGTGGCTTCAACCTGCCTCCCTCTTGCCACTCAAGGTGCTGATCGGCTCTCCTTGCAACCAAAAGCAATTATTTGCAATGCCTTGTGTCCAATGCAAGGAAGGATGCTTCCTCCTCAAATCATGCCACCCCTTGAACCAAAATGTTTTCCCAGGATCTATTTTGAGTATGGCGCTGCACCACTGACGGTGCGTTTCAGACACGCAGGGGGCTCCCAGTTCAGCAGAGCAACGGATAACCTACTCCAGGTTTTCAATTGAACTTCTCATAGGCCACCCAGTCCAACTCTTTTTTGCTATAAAGGAAGACACCACCCAAGCCCTCCCGACAGATGACCATCCAGCCTCTGCTCCGCCAGACTTCCAGGATTTATTTATTTACAGTATTTATATTTCGCCCTTCTCACCCCGCAGGGGACTCAGGGCGGATTACAGTGTACACATATATGGCAAACATTCAATGCCGATTTGACATACAACGTATACAGACATACACAGTTGTCGCTTTCATCATCCATCTGCGACACTGATGAAGTACTTCTCCATTCCACGCATGCTTTTGCTCGAGTGCTTTGCTGGAGTCCATTGACCACCTGTGGGCTGGACTTTTGTGGAATTGATAATCCAGATTTCTGATTGAAAGTGTTGCCTCTTGAACTCTTTACGTCCTGCAGTGAGAACGACTCTTGTGTCATTTCCTTTATAACCATTTTGTGGGATTCATCACAAACATCATTGCCAACAGATTTTATTTTCTTAATTAGAAACTGATTACTTTTAATGATAATTGCTGCAAGTCTATAAACAAACTGTGCTAATTATAAATATTGTAAAAGGACCTACACTTGAACAGCATCAGCACTCCACTTCTATCGTGATTAATGCTCTCTGGAAGTTTTTAAACAGAGGCTGGGTGGCCACCTGTCTGGGGTGCTTTGACTATGCCTTCCTGCCTGAAGGGGGTAGACTGGATGTCCTTTGGGGGACCCTCCTTCCTCCTCCTCAGCATTGCTTATTTGTGGGAGAAAGTATTTTTCAAGTGACACTTTAGTGTGTCCCAACACAGTTTGGAAAGGTTTGCTCTGCACTATTGGAAATCTTAAGCAACTAAACGTGATGCTCAACCCTAGACCTCTCCTTCACATACCTTCCACGGTTTAGTCAAATTATTTCCATTTAGATCAGTTTCCCAAACTCTGGCCTTCCAGAGGTTTTGGACGTCGGATCCCCAAATCCCTGACCATCATCCAAGGCCATAGAGGCTTCTGGGAGCTCAAGTTCAAAACACTTGGAGGACTTGCATTCAGGTTTCAACTTACCTGTTTGTGTGAAGAGACAATCCACAGCACAACAAATGAAAACAAGCAAAGGTGAATTCTTCAGCTAAAACAACCTACCAAGTCCATGCAACCATCTTCTAATGGTTGAGGTAGCTTTTTGAGATGGGACTACACAGAGAAATTGAGATTTATGTAGGGAAATGATCTTTGGGGGTCTTCTGTCCATAAAAAGATAACATCACATTTTATATGAAGTTTCTTTCTCCTTGTCCTTTCGCAGACAGATGCTCTTGATTATGACTCCAGTCTCCCAAATCCTTTCGTCATAGGTGCCCCATATCCCACTGTTGACTCTAATTCATTCTTAAGACAAAGATGAGCAAACTGCAGGAGATTCAGGGGTCCATTTTCCACCAATAAAAACCGGACAGCGCTAGAAAGCAAATGGTTAGTTGTTTGCTGAAAGGCAAAGAGTCCTGCAAATCACAAAATAGTAGTGCTTGCAAGAGAGGAAACACACCTCAAAATGAACTGACCAGAGAAGGTTGAGGGCTACAAATTCCTTTGCATCCCTCAATGAAAATGGATAGAACTGTCTCCAAGGTATAAACCTGAAAAACCGTATCCTGGGATTGAGATGTCTTCGTGACACTGAGACTCACGAACCAGCCATGCCCCTGTTTTCGCTCAGAAGCCAAACAATCTACAAATGAAATGTGCTTCTTTAGCCACCTTGCAAATTGTAGACAATTCCCTACTCCTTTTATTTATTTTCCAGTGATGCCACAAAAGCTAGAACAAAGCGGGGAGGGGAGGAATTATGAATTAAAACAAGCCCACAAGCATTTGGTTGTATTTGATTTGATTTTATTGGGGATTTAAAAAGGTATCTATTTCTCCAGCAGGGTAAGTCACATTTGAGGATTTGCGGGAGTTCAGTTCCAGACAAAGGGAGGGGAAGGGGATCAGCTTTGCATTACTTCACTATAGCTCAAGTGTTTTTTTATTTTTAATATTTTAAATTGAATTTTTAGTAATCTGCAAGCCAAGCTCAGCTTCAATGCAGGATACACTATTATGTAAAAATCTGCCCCACATTCATGTTAAGTTTGGTTTACATTGGAGAAGGGAGGGGAAAGAGATGAGACAAAGGATCACCAGAAGGCATTTCGTTCAATCGAGTCAGATTCAGAGAAAAGAAAATAGCAGAACGGCAGACTTATTCGGTCCCAAACCAAACCCCAAGCACTAAACTGAGAACGGGTTCCTCCACAAGTCAAAACCGATGTGACCTAAAGAGGAAATATCCCATGTCCAAGCTTTTATTGACATTTATGTCTGAGCTGGATTTTGGCAGGAGGCTGGTCATTTCGGCAGCATGTTTTATCCGGTGGTTTAAGGGGGGGGGGGGCAGTAAAAATGTACCTTGTTGCAAGCTCAGAAGCAAACCATGAGCAGAGACCAAAGCCTGTTTCGTATTTCTCTTTACAAACAGAAACAAAAAAAAAATTAATGGCACAAAAAATGATATAAAAACACTCGGCCAAAACTTTTGTTCAGAAGAGACAAGACTAAAAAGAAAAAAAAGCAAAGCTTCCAAAGCCATGAATGAACACAGGAAGTATTACATTTCTATTTGGGAGGTTCTGAAGGAGGAGGACTCCAACATGACAAGATCTACTTTGCCAGGAACTTTATCTCATCCCATTGTCTAGTGTGAATTATGGCAGAATAAACCGATCACTGATTGGGAAGAAATAAGCCCCCCCCCCCCCCCCCCCCCCCCCCCCCCCCGGTCTTTATTGAAAAACTCACCTGCTACTCACATTCTGTACACCTAGGAAGCTCCTCAAAGGAAAAGCAGAAGGAAGAATAGGAAACTATCTGTCCCTTCCAGTCCGACCACTATCAAAAACATGAGCTACTTTGCCTTTCATTTGGTTTCCATTCAATGAAGACCTTTTCTTTCTGACTTCCAGATTCCCTTCTGCCTTATTCTTTTGACAGAAGGAGTTACTTTCTTGGGGGCAACCCATGGCCTTAAAACCACTGCGGCACACAGAAAACTTCAGTGCAAATCCAGAGAGATTCAAAAGTCTATGACCCAAGAACTACAAATGTCTCCTGGTGGACAACCGGCTGGCCCTATCCTTCTGAAAATGTGCCAGGAATGTGAGGTGTTACTTGTTTCTCACAAACAACTAGACCCGCCCCAGAGCTGTTCTGGCACTCCCCCAAAAGCAAGACTTTAAAAAGCTATGTGAAGCCAATGGAGGGGAGAAACAAGGTGCTTTTCGCAATGTGTGTTTTTGGCCTCAAAAGATGGAGGATTATCCCTACGTTCCAAGTCCAATGACAAGGACCACTTAAGGTTGACTATCCATTTGCAGGGCAGCAAACTCAAAACAGCATTCGTACAGCTCCTCTTCCAGTCTCTCTCTGTGTCCCTAATGCCCCTATCTCTTCTGTGCTCTCCCTGTTCCTCAAAAAGTGGAGGGTTCAAAGTCAAGGCCTATTTACCTTGGATGCACATTTACACCTTCTTATTGAGCCGATGTCTGCCTCCGAAAGAATAAAGGGAGATTTCCCAAACCAGCTTGGCCAGAGGCAGCCGGCAAAGGCCAAGGGGACTATGTCTTTTCTTCCTCCTCCTGGCTAAGCCTTTGGGACATCTTCTACCAAAGCGACCCCATGTGTGCTGTTCCTTTCGTGGGACTGCAAAATGGCCCCAAACGCAAAAGAAAGCAGCGCTGCACAAGCCTCGGGTGGCTGTTTATGAAAGCAGCTCAAAAACAATAGAAGAAACAATGCCCAACGTTCTTCTCTGCTTCCACCCACCCTTTCTCCTATCCACTGATTCCGCGCAAGTGAATTCCTTGTCCTAAAAAGAAACATACAATACATATCTGTCGTACCTAAGCCCACGTTCTACTGCTACAGAACTACTATGGGTCACCAAGGCTTTTCTCAATCTTTCCTTCTCTTTCTGGCGTTTGTGAGGAGTTCAGACATTTGCTAGCAAGAGAAGACTCAAATGGTGATAAAGACGTATCAACCAAAAAGTAACTTGCAATTTAAAAATGCTGGGGGGGGGGGGGGGGGGGAACCGGTGCCGCAACTTCAAAGTGACCGCGCGCAAAACAAACCCAATACTAAACTTCTGGCCTAGTTTAGTATCTGATCCACAGCCATCTTTTACACACAGCTGCTGCAAATTGCGGAAGAAGCAACTGGTCAGAACTTAGTATATAAATCACACACTTACTATGTAAGAAATCATGTGCCTGGTAGAGCTTTTTAGGAAATATATATATACATATACACACACATATATATGCATATTATAACTTACATATAATATGCATATCTATCTATATAATATGCATATATATATATATATATATATATTCATTTTTTTAAAAAAGGAAGCCCACAGGTTCTGTCACGCCAAGTCATGTTTTTGACACTGTTGCCAAAAGGGCCATACCGCTGAAGCAAATACTTAAACACAGCAAAGAAATAAAGGACAAAAAAGCATGTCTATTACCAAATAAATGTCTGATATTTCCTTTTTTCCCTTTGAGAGTAACAAGTAAGGTCACTTTTCGCCTCGGAACAGGTGCCCGTTCTGCCTGCGATGGGCTTCTCCAGCCACGACACAATGCTGGACGTCCTCTGCTAAAGAATCTAATTTGATGAAGTCGAAGTCAGGAGAAGACTCTAGTCAGTAGGCAAGCTTTCCTTTATGGCAAGTATTGATTTCTTTCTCTATTTCTTTCTTTTTCTATGACTTGGGAGGAGAGAGCCTCAGGTTGTGATGCTTTCCCAGCAGGCTGCTGAGGGTCCGGTGGCTTTCAAGCAGCATGGCGGAGGGGTCGGGGGAGGAAGAGGAGGGCCAAGGAGGGGGCACAGAAAGGGTCCGCCGCTTAGATCATCCGGTTGCGTTTATGGGTCGGAGAGTCCGTAATGCCGTCGCCGCACTGGGCTGAGGTACGCTTTCGAGTTCCACCATTGTCCAAGTGGAGTGCCATTTCTTCGGATATGAAAGTGTTCAAGTCAACGTCATGGAGTCCGTTTCTCCTCCTGCTCCCATTGGAGCCACTGCTCACGTGAGTGGGAGAGCCTGGGGTGCTGGAGCGCACGCTGATGCTCGCCATCGCACCACTGAGACCTACAGGGAGAGAGGGAGGAGAAGGAGAAACAAACATTAGGAGGGCAGCAACATTTGAGTTTCAGAACCCATTCCTCAGGGCCCTTTCACAAAACACAACTATAGACTAGGACAATCCCACCTGAACTGCCATGGCTCCATGATATGAAATCCTGGAATTTACAATTTAGGGGGACGCATTTAGGCACTCTAGTGTCTCACCAAACTACAAGTCTCTGAATTCCCCTAGGATGCAGTCAAGGCAGCCGAAGTGGAATCATAGCATTATAATGATGTTGTGTGAAAAGGGAATCAGATAATAAGCAAGCTTCCTAGAGGCATTAAGGGCCAGAAACTTTTCATTTTGGGAAAATGATATTGGAACTCAACCACATCCTGCACAAGGTTATAATCCTCATCAAGGAATTAAATAAGTGGATGATTTAGTTAGCGGTGTATGTGTCTGCCTGTCTTCCTTTCTCTCGTTATATCACCTGTCTTGATAAAACTGATACTTCTCAGGGACACGCTTCCTTTTCTGAGCACAGGGCAAGCCTGACCCCTCTGTTTTGTTCTTCTCCTGTGAGCATAGAGACAGACAAGATGTCTGCTGTGAGTGAGTTAAATAACTAGGCCCTGTTTACTTTCCTATTAAGTTACATAATTCTTTAAAGAAAGTGTTTAATAACTTTGAAAGCTTGATTCTGCTCCTGAATTGTTTAGGCTGAATTGCTCTACTGCCGGCACTAGCAGCTCCTGGTCTGCTGCTAATGCTACTTTATCTTTTTTTTAACATTTTCTCTTTTGGAAACTACCCACTGTCACCCTCACGCCAGAACACAGAAGTGAAGAGAAAACACGGAGCTAAAGAAGTGCCCCCCTCTCCCCCAAGGTAGGTCAGGACAACCATTAATGCCAAGAAGCCACTGCCTGGGTGGACTTGGCTTCCGTCAGCATCTGATAGACAACATCCTCTCCAGATTTCTGCTTTCCCATTTCAGAGCCTCATACAGGAAACGCTGGGAAAAAAGCCAAACTCTGGGTTGCCTTGGTGACCCTCAATGTTGTGCAAAGTGTTGAGGAACTTTAAAGTATTTTAGCCGCTTGCTTAATCCTCTTGGGTTGTTCTAGTTACACAAACCGGATCCTTTAAGAAAGGACCCATACTGTCTTGTGCTGTATGAGGCCAAAACTGATGTAGATGTTTGAGTTCCCTAGACTTCAGCTTCTGGTCTAGACCAGAAAAAAACAAGCCATTTGTAAAACCCATTGCATGCCCATCAATGATTTGCAGCCAGAACACTCCCCAAGACTGCAGCAAATTCCTATGATAGATAAAGAGTTGACTTTTCTGATCATGTGCTATTGCAAAAAGAAAGGCAACCCACTGGGTACATCTTCAACAAGAACACTGATGACTGGCAAGGAAAACAACCACAAACTGGCTGGCACAACGCAAAGAAAGGGACCGGGACCATCCTCTTCGCTGCTGGCTGAGCAAAGCAAAGGACATGACCGAAAGGAGCTGCCTTAGGAAGCATTTGGCACAAACAGCTTGCATAACCTGCTCCACTATGTCATTTCCTGCCAGAACAGTAGCAAAGTGGATGCCTTCCCAGCCGATGACAGCTCAAGCCCCATAGTCCAGATGACCCTCAACATACCAATCTAACAGTTCACCAACAGAGTGGCTCCACGCTCAGCTTTGTCAATAGTCAGATTCAGCTCAGGCGTCACCTATCTGGGAGCCATTCTTTTTGTTACCCTTCTCCAAAGCTGTCCTGAAATCAGGGAATGATTTCTGCACAGAATGGGTTTGCTGAGCTCTCCCAAGAAATCCAACCTGACTCATAGGTCCAAAAACACTGGGATGAAATTGTGTCATGCCACCATGCACTGTAGGGCTCGGAAATCCCTGCTCCATTAAATAGCTGAATTGTCCTGTCTAACAGCTGCCACAATGGTACTGAATGGGTGCCAATGGTAGCTGGCCTGCAAGATCCCTGCAAGCCAGCAATGAAGAAACGAGATACAGGCAGGACCAAACACAAAGACATGCGCTGGACCGGAATCCAAAAGCATAGCAGAAGGAAAGAAGAAACCTGAGTCACTGGTAGAGATGTAGTCAGAGACACTTGATGGAGAGCTGCCCACAGAAGCTCCTGAAGTAATTAATTTACTTAGAAATACCTGAGATGCTCTATTTGGGTCACCTATTTATGGCAGGTCTGGAAAATAAAGGGGACACATCTGGAAAGGCAGAACCTCAGGAAAATTAATTGAAACAGAGACATTTTTGTCAAACTTAAAGTATACACTATTCTCTACCTTATTACAAATATTCCAATTAAATATTTGTTTCACGTAACACTTTGGATTTCTTTTAATCTTTTATTTAAATCAAGATTTCATTTTTTCCAGTCCAACTTTTCCCAGAAAAAGCATGTCAATGTCTAATACATAGATGACAAATGGCTGATAACGAAAAAAGACCATAGTATGGCAAACATTTCAATATAGCAGGAAGTGTTGCTGTTCAAAGAGGACAGAATTGCAACGGGACATGGCAATATCCAAAGCAGCTGTTCAAATTTAGTGTTTACTATATAAGCAAACATATCTTAAGGCCTGCGTTTCACAGTATTTTTTACTATGTAAGATCCTCCAGAGATGTTGTAATGTTTTTAATTAAATAAGGCCAAATGGCATAAGAGTAATCTACTTGGCATAAATAATAACTACCCTACCAATCTGCTACAGTGTTTAGATAGTTAGTTAGATAGATAGACAGACAGATATCCAGACTCAATGTTCTGAAAGAACTCCAAGAAATAAAACCTGGCACCATGCAACTCAACACCTCCCAAATGATGCATAAACCTCAAAAGGATCCAGATCCATGCCTTAAGTGGTTCTTCGCCACCATTGGTTAATGAGCACAGTTTTATTGAGTCTTAGTTGTTGTTTTATATGCCTATGTGTTTTACTCTATTTCATTTTATACTGTGTTTTATTTTATGTTCTGTTTTAGGCATGTTGTGCCAGGTGTAAGCCGCCTTGAATACCTTCAGGGAGATGATGGCAGTATACAAGAATAAAGTTATTATTGTTATTACTATTATTGTTTTTCATATGGGTGTCAAAGTCAACAGGCTATTCCTCCATTTGGCAGAGAGTTTTCACTACTGAGATACAGACTGAAAGCAATGTTCCTCCATTCATTCAGACAGTCTTGGCCTTTTCAGTTCTGTCAGCTCCATCGGCCCCAAGACCTTTTAGACTCATATTAAAAATCCAACTGTATCACTAATGAGCAAGACAAACCTGCAAAACCTGAAGCCAAACTCCTTCTGAGTCATATCCCTACATGTGTGTGTATGTGTGTGTATAGCACCCAGTAATAATAATAAAACTTTATTTCTATACCGCCCCTATCTCCCAAAAGGGACTCAGGGTAGTGTACAAAAAAAGAGCAGCAAACATCCAATGCCTGAGAAACATAACGTAATAAAGCGCTTCAAGTAATAAACAATCAAATATACAACATCGGAATATACTTATAAAACAACTCAATAGCAAATGAGAAATACAAAGTAAAATAATTGCGACACATTTCTCTAATGACTAATAATGGTCAGAGGTAATTAATACATTTTAAACAAATCATACAGTTAACAACAGGCCATCCGGACGCAGGTATGTCTCCATGAGCTGAGTCAAAATTTAAATAAAGTAGTAATCCAGTACTAGACTGGCAGTGCTGAACCTTGCTTCAGAAATCCTGAGGAAAATAAAACTTTATGGTTTCTTCTCTGCTGGAGGTTAAGATCCGCCCCTGTGCCTTTCCATTATTTCAGAAGAAACGCATACCCAACACGCAACCAAGAGTAGGGCAGCATTTGCTCAAGAGCCCTCATTTGTTTGTGAGGGGCATTTCTTCCAGCTCTCCCATTTCGGTATGGGACCAGAAGGGCACTCTGCCATTCTAAGCACCCAGAGAAGCCTTAACTTTGCAATTCCTAAGAATTCCTTCCATTCTTATCAGACCTCAAGAAGACTGGAGAGGAAGGCACAAGAGGACGTTCTGCCAGGGATACACTGCTCCTTATCGTGCACAACTAGATCTGTGAGACCCAGCAAGAGTTTGACCTAACAAATAAATTGGAACATAAGTGAGGATTTCAGGTCCATTAATTCCCCAGGGATTGAACTTAATTGAACAATTAGACTTAGTCCACAAAGCAGAGCATATCTGCGTGTGCCTTCAAGTCTCACATGGACTTACAATCACCCCAATAATTTCTTAGGGGTTTTTAAAAACAAGAAATACTTAAGAAGTGAATTTTGCCAGCTCCTTGCTCTTGAAATATAGTTTACAGCAATTGCCCTGCTTAGCTTCCAAGATCAAAATGGGTTTTGGTGCCTTTAAGATATTGAAGCCATAGAGCCAGAGGGCAAACCAAATAAAAAGAGAAGCAGTGCCTATCTGAGATGCTCTTCTCACTTCTTCCTTGGCCTGAAGAGTTTGAAACCAAGAATGCATCTCATGGGGGAAAACTCCATTAACACAGAAAACAAGCACCCAGTGCCGGATTTAGGACAAATGAGGCCCTGTTCTAGTTAAGTTACAAGACCCCTTACTTGGGTCCTAAAGGAGGTAGGTCTGGTAGGCCTACATTGCCTGCTTTGTGGCACACTCCCATAGACTATCAACTCTATCATTATGTCTGGAATTGCTCCGAAACAGAACACCTTCAAATTTAGAATTTGGCAGAAAGATGGGCCTCCTTAGCCCCCCTAAACAGAATGGTAAATCCAGCACTGCAGGAACCATTAAGCAGTCCATTCTACTTCTAGAGGGTTTGGGTGCCAATGCTATCGTGAGGATCCAGCTTATGCCAAGTCCAAGCCATGCAAGATAAAACCTATTTTTTTTCTGAAAAGGGACCTAATTATTACACCAACAACAGTTTGGCAATGTCTATTCCTGAACTGCACAGCTCTAAGTGCAAACCTGTCCTACACAAACTATTCTATTAATAACTATTTATATTATTGAATATGAAGGATTTCTACTCTTCTGTTTCAGTGGGCACAGCCAGCAACACTTAGCTATTTTCACTATCGTTCTGCATTGGAACAAATAAAGAGCAGTATTTTAAGGGAAGCAGCTTTCCCATTCAACAATAAAATCCAAGATGCCCCTAGAACAGGGGTCCTTAAACTAAGGCCCATGGGCCGGATACGGCCCTCCAAGGTCATTTCCCCTTGCTCAGGGTCAACCTAAGTCTGAAACAACTTGAAAGCACACAACAACAACAACAACAACAACAACAACAACAACAACCCTATCTCATCAGCCAGAAGCAGGCCCACACTTCCCACTGAAATACTAATAAGTTTATATTTGTTAAAATTGTTCTTCATTTTAATTATTGCATTGTTTTAAGTGTTTTTTGCACTAGAAATAAGATATGTGCAGTGTGCGTAGGAATTCATTCATGCTTTTTTCAAATTATAATCCGGCCCTCCAACAGTTTGAGGGACGGTGACCTGGCCCTCTGTTTAAAAAGTTTGAGGATCCCTGCCTTAGAACATGGCATAAGCGTTCAATTCTTCCCAGCCAATGCCAGATCCCAAATGCATGGCTAAGGAACCAAGCACTCCATCAGCAAACAGGGCGCGGATAAGAGCTGCACTTGTAAACCACCCAGAGTCCCTCTGGGGAAACAGGGCGGGATGCAAATAAAGTTATTATTTTTATTATTATTCAATGCGACCCAAGTCAGTGGATGCTGCATCCCCAAGACGCTGGAGCTTTCAGCTTACAAATTACATTCAAACTAAATCCCGAAACTATCTTTGTGGGAAGGCTGTGTGAAAGTCTAAGAATAACTGAAAGGCAGTCTTCATACCCATCCAAATTTGCAACCCACTGAGCATGCCAACTTCTTATACAAATGCACTGTTCTTCTGGGATGGCTTTGGGAAGGTCTTAAGGCCCAGAAAGAAAGATAAAATCAGGGCAAGAGAGATGCATTTTTCCCTCAGAAAAAAAAGAAAATGGATAGTGGTTAATTTCTTCTAGAATCCTGAGTAACTTGCCTAAGACACAATGTGAGTATCTTTCTTGCCTCAGAAGCATTTTTAAAAAGCTTGTAACTAGAAGATTTTTACATAAGAGGAAATACAGCATCAGAAATACAGTCATAACAGCTCATGCTAAAATGAAAACCAGTTCATCTCAAAGGTGTTTCTATATTTTTGCCCCTTGAACTGCCTCTAATTTTGTATCCCACATTAGCCTCTTAGTGGCCCCAACATGCCATCCCTACAGTGGGCGTTTTGAGCCTTTCCCCAGCTCCCATCCCTGCCATACCAGCAACATTACCATGGAGGGCTATGGCTTCTCGGAAGGGCTGCAAGTCCGTCTCGACCGAGGGGCTTGTTTCTGTGGAAGCCGCCCGGCTAGGGGATACTACAGTCAGTCTTGGGGGAGCTCTAGAGTTCCGTGGAGGAGGAGCCTTCCCGCACAGGAAGCTGATTAAGTCTTCTCGGCGGATCGTTCTTCTGCGCTTCTTGACCCACGCCAAGACATCTTTGTTGCGACGCTGGTAGCCAATGTGTATTCCCACATCAAAACTCCGCTGGTGGGCATCCACGCTTTCTGGAAGGAGAGAAAGGACACTGTTAAAGGGGACCTCTCCAAAAGGGATGCATTCATCCATCGGCTTTAAAAAGGCACAAAGGGATTCCACTAGAACAGCATCACAATTTGAAGCCTGCAACTGGTGTGGCCAGATAGAATCATAGAGTTGGAAGAAACTGCATGGGCCATCTAGGCCAACCCCCCCCCCCTTGCAAGGGAGGAAAAGCACAATCGAAGTACCCCTGACAAATGGCCACCCAGTCTCTGCTTCAAAGCCTCCAAAGAAGGAACTTCCACCAGTCTCCAAAGCAGAGAATTCCAGCTTTGAACAGCTCTCACACTTCGGAAGTTCTTCCTAATGTTCAAGTGGAATCTTCTTCCCTATCATTTGAACCCAAGGCTCCACTGAGTCCTAGTCTCCGCGGCAGCAGAAAGCAAACCTGCTCCCTCTTCCTTACAACAGCCTTCAAAATATTTAAACCTGGCAATTATATGTAGGGACAACAATTGCAATTTGAGAGGTGTTTGCACCATTCTCCCACTTTTCAGAGAGAACTGTGACCCCCACCAATGACACATCTGAACCAAACTGGGCACATGGAACCCCAATGACCAGCAGAAAATACTGTGGAGGTTCGAGGGGTATAGACCCAAGATGATGAGAGTTGCAGGAGGCACATCCAGAGACCACTGTGAACCCCACTGAAAATGGATCTGGACCAAACTTGACACACAAACACATCATGGTCAACTTTAAGTACTGAAAGGATGGGGTGGGTTTGACTCAGAATATTGGGAGATATAATTTACTCGCATCTTTTACGTTTTCTAATGGGTTAATTCTTAAAATCCAAAAACTAACAATGAATAATTATTATGTTTATCCTTACAAAATCCTTAACCAGGGTATCACTGGGTACCTAAGCTAGGTGTTAATAGCTGAAGCAAGACAAAATGGATCCAACTCCACTGGCACCAGATATCAATATGCAGTGCAAGATCAAGGCCAAACTGCTGATATGAAGAATTTGTTTCTAAAAGGTACCAAATCCAAATAAAATTGAAAAATGAGTTATGGGTGGCAGCATCTTGTTGGCTAGAATATAATGTATAAAACCAAAACTATCAAAAAGTATCCACTTGCTTCAGTACAGGGCTTGTAAAATTGCATTTTATAGCAAGAGAATGCATATCCTCAGCACTTTTTTCTTCCCAATATCTGTAAAATTTGTTCAGATGGATTTGGTACCCTATGGAAACAATTTTACAGCAATCGGGCATGTATCTTCTCAAAGAGCTCTAGAAGAGCAAATCTCAAAATGCCAGACCCAGACAAATTCCTATGTAAGAAATAGACAATGGTACCCAATGGGCACATATTGAGTGCAGAAAATAAATACTGCTGGTTCCTCACATGAGATGGATAGAGCATCACTACTCTAGAATAGCTGCCCACTTTTTCCATGGTCTGAACACAAAAACCACCTTTCTACATGCAAGCATCCTCTGGAAGCATCAGTTGGATCCAACTGATCAGAAAGTCTAGGCCAGGGGTCCTCAAACTTTTTAAACAGAGGGCCAGGTCACAGTCCCTCAAACTGTTGGAGGGCCGGATTATAATTTGAAAAAAAAAAACATGAATGAATTCCTATGCACACTACACATATCTTATTTGTAGTGCAAAAATCACTTAAAAACAATACAACAATTAAAATGAAGAACAATTTTAACAAATATATATTAGCATTTCTATGGGAAATGTGGGCGTGCTTTTGGCTGATGAGATAGGATTGTTGTTGTGTGCTTTCAAGTCGTTACAGACTTAGGTTGACCCTGAGTGAGGGCCGGGAAAATGACCTTGGAGGGCCGCATCTGGCCCCCGGGCCTTAGTTTGAGGACCCCTGTTCTAGGCAGTATCAACAGGCTACTAAAACATGATCATGCGAATGTTTACACCAGTGGTTCTCAACCTGTGGGTCCCCAGGTGTTTTGGTCTACAATTCCCAGGAATCCTAGCTAGTTTACCAGCTGTGAGGATTTCTGGGAGTTAAAGACCAAAACATCTGAGGACCCAGAGGTTGAGAACCACTGGTTTACACAGAGCATACAAGATCGTGGAGTTAGTGGCACTCATTTCTACAGCTGACCTTGAAATATAACGCATCTCTGGACTGGTATAACAAAAATTAAATCACTGAATCATGATTTGTGCCAGCATGAGCTGTTTCTTCCCTGAAGTCGTCGTCTTCTGTTTATTTATACCCCGCTTTTTCTCTCCACAGTAGACTCAAAGCGACTTGCCAATATAGTCCTATCGCAGACTCTAAAATGGCTTACAGAAACAAACTCTCCCTGCAAAGTATGCCCTGAAATGACAAGAGGCAACCTAAGGTGACTCCTGCAAATTCAAACAGTAATTTATAGGGATGAAGTAATTCCCATTCACTCCAGCAGATATCTGGAAACGAGAGGCAACAACTTAAGAGCATATCACCAGCTAGTTGCTGTACATTTGTTTCCTATATGTTGTCAGTAGCTGCCTTAAGGAAAGGCTGGATATGAACACTTCAAATGACAAAGTCAGCAGTCAAAGGAGCTCTCTCTCTGCAGTTCTAGCAAAGCTGCTGCAGGAAGATCGCAGGTGAGGTGAAATCCCTGCTTTAGAAGTGTCACACCAGCAGAAGGGATGAATGATGAGGAAGGACAGGTGAGCAGCACACAGGTATAATCTGCCAGTCACCTGCATGCTTTTGAGGAAGGAAAGAGGATGATCTGCCACCAGTAAATGCCACATTGTGCCTTTGAGCACAAAGCCACAATAGGATCTTGACCACACACCACTTCCAAGGACAATCCTGCAAGATCTCTTTGCAAGGCAACCAATGAGATGAATGGGACGTTTCTGTATCTTTATGAATAGATACTCAAAAACTCAGAAAAATTCAGATAAAAGTGAGTTCCTTCAACCTTTCCCTGGAACAATAGAGGAAAATGAACTGGAATGATATACATTTTAAGGCAAAATATTCCTATATTATTCCCTCAAAATCATTCCTAAAAGCTATATAACAGGAAGACTTAAATTACACAGCATTGGGTCACTGCATTTCCTGGCCTTGTTTTCCTTTCTTTGGTTATTCTTATGGGTGCCAGTGTCTGATGTCTGCTTGTTGCTACATAAGACTAGAAGAGACAAAACAGATTCATTTGTTTTGTTAATACTGATTTTTTCCCCTTTTTTCGGCTGCCACTTATTAAATTAGCAAAAACAATGAGCAAAAATGTTTGTTAAATATCAAGACACTGTCGCCCCATTGATAACAAAGAAAAAAAATCTTTCAAAAAGTACATTCTGTTTGTAATTACTGAGTAAACATTAGTTTTAAGATTGTTAACATTGTATTTATAATGTTACATTGCTAACATTTCAACCTGGACACATTTAAAGCTCCTGAAGCAACAAAGTGATTTTCAACCTAGGGACTAAAATAACATTCTTCCTCCAAATTTTCGAAAACTTTTGACTGTCTTCCTGGAAGATAAAGGATATAGTTTTCTACCTTTTATAGTCCTCGCAGATTTTCTGTGCATAACAAGGGACATTTTCAGAATGATGGAGGAAAGGAGAGCAAGGGCAAGCAAGGACTAGACCATAAAGGTTACAAAGGATGTGTTGGGGCAAAACTGCACACAAAGAGGAAGATACAGGAAGGAAAAGGCATTGGCAAGAGGCTGAAAAGACAGAAGCCAATGACATCATTTACAGAGCCATGTCACATGATCAGAACAGCAGGCAGAATTGGGGAGGGGGGGAGACAAAGAGAAGAGGCTCTGAGGGAAGAAGATGATTGTGGAAGTGAAATATGGTCAGGGAAGGGAAAGGAAAACAAATCACACTATTTTCATAATGCAACAATAGACACAATATAATGTGGCAATGCATTGAATACAGAGAAGGGAAGGAGAGAAAGAGGAAGTCTGATGATTTTTGCTGGGGGGGGGGGGTCTCTGACACATTGACAATGATGAAGCAACCAGGCAGAAACCTTAGAGGGGCAGCTGGAGATGGGGGATTGGCTGCGAGACACAGTTCCTAGGGAACAGGGAGCACTAAGGGCCAAGAGCATTGGTGGTTCATAATACTGAGTGAGCATGAAAAAGACGCTCAGGGTTTTGGGACTCTGATTCCCATGATTGCCAATGAAGATGGTGACTATAGTCCAATGGTTCTCAACCTTTTTCTGGCCAGGGACCACTTTTGACTAGGCACCACTCTCCAACAATAGTACCAAAAGGATTACAAATCAGTTTTTGGTCAACTTTAGATTTGGTTTGGGTATTTCGAGTGATGATTCAGAAAACTGCATTGGATAGACACATCAGCTCTAGTTTGACACAGAACATATGCCATCCAGTACTTGCCATCTGCTCGCCCACAGAAAACCATATTTAATGATCTAGAGCTGATGTGGTCTATCCAATGCAATTTTCTGAAACAGCACCCTAAATAACCCCAGACACAAGCCTAAAAACGAAGACACCCCCCCCCCACTCTGCTCAGGGGGAGGGAGAAGGAGAAGCAGCAGTCAGGAGGCATATTGTCGCGCCTTTCGTTAGTAGTCAGCCTCTCCCCTTCCGACATCCCAGTTGCCTCAGCAGTGTAAGACCGTTTCGCGAGACCAGTCGCTCTTATTGCAGTGGTGTAAGTAATGGTGAAGCTGTGGACCATATTTTAGTTCTTGGGGACCACTGGTGGTTCACAGACCACAGGATGGGAACCACTGCTATAGTCCAACACAGTAAGAGCCTGGAGGAAAAGGAACCAAGGCTGCGAAGCTGCAATGTGGGGAGTGCATATCGGTTGGCAGACAACTCTCTATGACTTCTCCAACCAAGGCATTAACACTCTACTGATATCTATTTCAATGTATTAAATATGTGCCTACTATCCAGCAACTGCCTGGAAAAAACGACAGAATAATCCCTCTGCCTATACGCCAGTGCCGTCAGCTTCATGT